AATATTCTGCTGCTGCTGCTGCTGCTGTTGGTGTTGCTGCTGCTGTTGTCTGGACAAGCAAGGACCGCAGCGATATGCTGGCCTCTTGCCACTCCCGCTGCTGCTGCTGCTGCTGCTGCTGCTGCTAGCGTGTCTGCCTCTCTTCTTCACGTTCACTCGGTTGTTGCTGCTGCTGGTGCTGCTGCTGTTGCTGCTGCTGCAGTTGTCGCTGCTGCAGCAACCCACACTTCCCTCAAGAAAAATACCTGCTGCAGGGCTGCAGCAGCTGCTGCAGCAGCTGCTGCTCACCTCCTGCGAAGTGTTTTGGGTGTCTTGGCTTCTGCTGCTGCTGTCGGAGTTGTTGCTGCAGCAGCGGCTGCTGCTGTTGCTGCTGCAGCTCCTGACAACTTTCCCTTTGCCCTTGCTGCAGCAGCTGCTGTTCCCGCTCACGTTTGGTTCCGCCGTCTCAGCAGCAGCAGCTGCTGCAGTTGTTGCTGCTGCTGCAGGGAGGAGGCTGCAGCTGTGACTGCCGCATGCGCAGCAGCAGCAAGACCTGTGTTCGCTTCGGCGATGGCTCCAGCAACACTTCCTGCGGCTACTCCTGCTGCTGTTGCTGCTGCTGGTGCAGCCGTCAAAGCAGCAGACTGCACCGAAGGTGGCACCAAGCCTATGTGCTTTCCTGCGTCGCTGCTGCTGTTGCTGTTGCTGTTGCTGCTGCTGTTGCTGCTGTTGCTGCTGTTGCTCCTGCTGTTGAGATGTCGTTGCTACAGCACGCAAAGGAATCTCCTCCTCCTGCTGCTGCTGCTGCTGCACTTGCTGCTCTGGCTGCTGCTGCGGTTGCTGCCCTTGTTGCTGCTGCTGCTGAGACCCTTGGCGCAGAGCTGAGAAGGCGACGCGGTGCAGCTGCAGCAGCAGCAACAGCAGCAGAAGCAGCAGCACGGTCATCAATTAAGCGGACAATTTTAAGGTTTGGGGTTCAGGGTTTAGGGTTTGCATGGATTTAAGGGTTTAGGGTTTAGGGTTTAGGGTTTAGGCATAAGGATTAAGGGTTGAGGATTTACTGTTTAGTACTAAGGGTTTAGGGTTTAGGGTTTAGGGTTTAGGGTTTAGGGTTTAGGGTTTAGGGTTTAGGGTTTAGGGTTTTACCTGTTCAAGAGACCAGACTTTAACAACACTAAGAAGTCCTGTGCTTTGCAGGAGCCGCAGATCGCCGTGCTGCTGCAGCTGCTGCAGCATTTGTAAGGCTTGCTGCTGCTGCTGCAGCTGCTCCTCCTGCGAGCTGCCTGGCACACCTGTTCCACCAGTCCTGCTGCTCCTGCTGCTGCTGCTGCTGCTGCCTGCTTGTCTGCGCAGCAGCGGCAGAGCAGCAGCAGCAACAGTCCTATCGAAAAGCGTTGGCGCCGTAGCTGAAAGATTTGTAGAATCTGCTGCTGCCGTTTCACCCTGCTGCTGCTGCTGCTGTTGCTGCTGCTGCTGCTGCTGCTGCTGCTGCATCATTCGTTGGTGCAGCAGCAGCAGGTGCTCTACATGCATCTGCTGCAGCACAATTAGATGGTGAGCAGAGAAGCTATGACGAGCAATGGGTCCTCCTCCCCCGCTGCAGCTGAATGTACATACACTAGAGAAGCTGCTGCTGCTGTCATATAATGTTAGCTGCCCGTTGTTATCAAGAGCAGCAAGAAGATAATGCTGCTGCTGCTGCTGCTGCTGCTGGTGCTGCTGCAAACTCTGTGGATGAGGCAACTGACGAAGACGTAAAAATGATGCACCAGAGGAAGGAGCTGGCAAACTGTGGCAAAGAGAACCTGCAGCAGCAGCAGCAGCAGCAGCAGCAACAGTAGCAGCAACAGCAGCAGCAACAGCAACACGAAAGACTAAACAGCTGAGCTCGGGAAGTTGTTGAGACGTCTAACAGTAACAACAACAACAACAACAACAGCAGCAGCAGCAGCAGCAGCAAGAGCAGCAAGAATCGCAGCATCAACAACATCGGCAGCATCAGCAACAGCAGCAGCAACAGCAGCAGCAACAGCAGCAGCAGCAGCAGCAGCCAGGAGTCTAACCATCTGCTACAGCCCATATTTTGATGGTGCTGCAGCTGCGCCTTAGCCAAGTAACGAGATGTTTGCTGCGGCGGATTTGCTGCTGCTGCTGCTGCACTGCAGCAGCAAATATATTATTTTTTTGTAGGCCGCAGCAAAAGGGAGCTGGATGAGAATCCTGCTGCTGCTGTTGTTGTTGCTGCAGCTGCATCTGTTGCTGCATCTCCCTAGCCTCCTGCAGTAGCAGCGACACAGGGGCTTCTGCTGGCAGCAAAGGTGCACGTAGTTTGCTGCTGCTGCTGCTGCTGCTGCTATAGCGTGCAGGTGGATCAACATATCCAGCCCAAAGAAAGTCAAGATCTTGTGCTGTGTCATCTGTTGCTGTTGCTGCTGTTGCTGCAGTTGTTGCTGCATCTGTTGCTGCAGTTGCTGCTGCTGCTGTTGTTGCTGCAGTTGGATTAGTTTGTTGCATGCGTGTATATACAGCAGGTTCCGTCGGACTGGCAGCACCAACAGGATCCCCCCGATCCCCACGATCCCCCCGATCCCCACGATCCCGATAAGCAGCAGTAGCAGCATTAGTAGCATGATGGTATGCATTAGCAGCAGCAGCAGCAGTAGTAGTAACAGGAGGATCAACAGGATAATCAGCAAAAGGAGGAACAACAATATGTTCCTGTATATGAGTAATTATATATAATAATGTTAATGTATTTGAATCATATACATGCAACATATTTCCTGTTAATACAGTAAGATGTAGATTCCTTAATGATACATCTAAGGGGAATTCAGGTCTATTTGCTGCTGCTGCTGCTGCTGCTGCTGCTGCTGCTGGTAATATTGCTGCAGCAGATAACTCACCATCTAATAAATTATATCCACGTAATATTCCTTTCTTTAAGAATACTGCCTTTGTTGCTGTTGCTACTAGACATACACGTGCGTCTTCGTCCTCCCTGCTGCTGCTGCTGCTGCTGTTGCTGTTGATGCTGCTGTTGATGCTGCTGTTGATGATGCTGCTGCTGCTGCTGCTGGCAATGAGGTGGTCTATAGATCCATTCGCATTTGCCTTCCATATCTCTTTTTGCTGCTGCAGATGCATCAGGTGTATATACACCCCATCCTCCCATAAGAAGCAGCAACAGCAGCAGCACAATGCCATGCTGCGGACACGAGCACGAGGAAGCGCAGGCCGCAGCAACTCCTTGTATGATGTATGACGGTACTTCGCCTGCAGCAACAGCAACAGCAACAGCAACAGCAACAGCAGCAACAGCAGCAACAGCAGCAACACAGATGCATGCACCATTAGCAGCACTATCCCCAACAACAACAACAGCAACAGCAACAGCAACAGCAACAGCAACAGCAGCCCTATCCCCAGCAGCACCAACAGCACCAGCACCAGCACCAAAAGCATCAACAACAACAACAGCAGCAGCAGCAACAGCACCATCACCACCACCACCATCAGCAGCATCAGCATCAGCAGCAGCATCAGCATCAGCATCAGCATCAGCATCAGCAGCAGCAGCAACATCAGCAGCAACATCAGCAGCAGCATCAGCATCATCATCAGCATCATCAGCATCAGCATCAGCATCAGCAGCAACAGCAGCAGGAGCAGCAGCAACAGGAGCAGCAGGAGCAGCAAACCTGTTTAATATTTCTAACAAAAGTAGCTGCCTTAGCAAGTGTTAATCTCCAACTCCATCCTTGTCTATATTTAAAATAATTTTCGTATTTGCTGCCGTACTGCTGCAGCAGCAGCAGACGCCATTGCTGCTGCTGCTGCTGCGCCAGCAGCACAAACCAACGACGGCATACTAAGCAGCAACAACATAAATCACTTACATTAAAATAACGAACTGCACTCAATAATGCTACCTCAGGAAATGTTATACTGCTGCTGCTGCTGCTGCTGCTGCTGCTGTTGCTGTTGCTGCTGCTGTTGCTGCTGCTGCTCGTGTTGGTGGTGGTCGTCGTGGTCGTGTTGCTACTGCTGGTCGGCGTCGTCATCGTCGTGTTGCTGCTGCTCGTCGTGTTGGTGGTACTGCTGCTGCTGGTGCTGGTGTTGGTGGTGGTGGTGGTGGCGCTGCTGCTGCTGGTGCTGCTGCTGATTTCAGTGCTGCTGGTAATGCTGCTGCTGCTGATGCTGCTGCTGCTGTCTAGGGAGTTCCTGGTTTGCTGATTGCCGCTATCAAGATTGGTGCTGCTGCTGCTGTTGTTGTTGCCACTGCAGACAAGGGATTGGCTACCAGTGCTGCTGCTGCTGCTGCTACTGCTGCCGGTGCTGCTGCTGCTGCTGCTGTTGCTGCTGTTGCTGCTGTTGCTGTTGCTGTTGCTTCTTTTGCTGCTGCGTTGATTCTTCGTAGTGGTACTGCAGCGCCTGTTGCTGCAATAATCCCCTCTTCGATGGTTGCTGCTGCTGCAGGAGCTGCTGCTGCTGCTGCGTCTATTATTGCTGCTGCTGTGTCTCGTAAAGCCTTTCCCGCTGCTGCGTTTGCTGCTTCTAGTGGTGGTTAGCGATGAATGGCAGGTGCAGCAGCAGCAGTTGCTGCTGCTGCTGCTGTTGCTGCTGCAGCACCTGCTGCGACGGCTGGAACGCTCGCAGCAGCAGGAACCCCCTGGTGTGTGGCAGGGCTCTTCCCTAAGGATGCGGCCCATTGTTGCTGCTGCTGCTGCTGCTGCTGCTGCTGCAGTGAAGCTTGCTGCTGCTGACGACGATGGTGACGCCAATGCAGCCACTACTGGAGCTGTTCCTGCTGCTGCTGCTGCTGCTGCCTCCTCATTAGCTGCAGCAGCCCTTTGTTTGGCGATGCTGCTTGCAGCATCTCTGTGTCTAGCGCAGCCGACGGCTGCTGTTGCTGCAGTTGCTGCTGCTGCTGTTGCTGCTGCTTTTGCTGCGGTAGCTGCTGCTGCAGTGGCTTATTTTGAGTCTTCGTTAGTATTTCAATAAAATATTTGCTTTAGCAGCGTCAATTGCTGCTGCTGCTGCAGTGCTGCTGCAGTGGGGTGGCGACAGCCGCTGCAGACAGGATCGTGCAGCTAGGATCGTGCTGCTGCTGCTGCTGCTGCTGTTTCTGCTGCCGCTGATGGTGTTATTTCTGATTAAGCAGCACATACGCATGGCGTCATAATTTAGGAAGAAATAAGGACACAGGGGGAGCAGCAGCTGCTGTTGCTGCTGCTGCTGCTGCTGTCGTTGCAGCTGTCGCTGCAGCTGCTGCCGACGAGAAGCCTCAGCAGAGAAGCAGCAGCGGCTGCAGCAGGAGTTGTTTGGAGGTGCATGCGTAGCAGCAGCAATTGTGTTCGTTTATGCTTCTGTATTTGCTGCTGCTGCTGCTGTTGCTGTTCGTGCTCTTGTTGCTGCACGTTGAACCCGAGCGCTGCTGCTGCTGCAAGCGCCAACGCTGCTGCTGCTGCTGCAACTGCTGCTACTGCTGCCTCCTGTTCTGCTGCAGCGACAGCTGCAACAGCATTAATATATTAAACAAATAATTTTCTGCATTTATTGCTAACTCATTTCTTGCTTCTGCTGCTGCTGCTGCCTCCTATCTTAGGCACCCCCCTCCAGTGCTAGGGACGAGACAGCAGCAGCAGCAGCAGCAGCAGCAGCAGCAGGGTCTGCAGCAGCAGCAAGTCTTCCTAGAGTAGGCAGCAGAAACTGTACATACTCAGCTTTTTTTGCTGTTTTTAGTCCTCCTATGTTTTTCGTTTATCTTTGCTGCTGTTTTTGTTGCTGCTGCTGCTGGTGCTGCTGTTGCTGCTGCTGTTGCTGCTGCTGCTGTCGGCAGCAGCTGTGCCTTGAGCTGCGCTCTGTTTATTTCTCAATAAAAATAATAATTTAAATAATAAATAAATAATAATAAATTACATAATAAATAATAATAATAATATTAATAATATAAATAATAATTAAATAATAAACTAATTAAATATATAATAATAATAATATTAAGAAAAAAAGAAAAAAAATGTTTTTGTTTGCTGCTAGCAGCAGCAAATGCAGCAAATGCCGCCCTATAGGCTATTTTTATTGTGCATGCATGCGCAGCAGCAACAAGACACAGCAGCAGCAACAGAAGCAAACAGCAGCAGCAGCAGTAAACAGTCGCAGCAAAATGTGTCGTCACGGGAAGCAGCAGCTGCAGTTGCTACTATTATTCAACCAGCAGCATTAGATGCTGCTGCTGCTGCTGCTGTTGCTGCTGTTGCTGTTGCTGTTGCTGTTGCTGTTGTTGCGATTGCTGCTGGTGCTGCTGCTGTTGCTGCTGCTGCAATACCCTTGGGGATCGACAGTGTTGATTACTCGTTACAAGCTGCGGCTTCTGCTGCTGCTGCTGCTGCTGCTGCTGCTGCACCTAACTTGCATCAGCAAGCCGGACTAGTAGTAGTAGTAGCAGCAGCAGCAAGAGAAGCAACAAGGATTCATCTAATGGCTGCAGCAGCAGATATGAGTGGCCATTTGTTACTATTAATAAGTGCTGTTATGGTGTATGCACAGCAGCAAGCAGCAGCAGCAGCAGCAGCAAACAGCAGCAGCAGCAGCAGAATTGTAGCAGAAAAAATATATAAAGACGATCACCAGTCCAACAAAAAAGCAAAACAAAAATCCGCCTGCAGCAGCAACTGCAGCAGCAGCAGCAGCGAAAGCAGCAGCAGTTGCTGCTGATGCTCCATGCTGGAGGGGTTGCTGTTGCTGCTGCTGCACCTGTTGCAACTCTTTTAGTTGCTTTGCTGCTGCAGTTGCTGCAGCTGCTGCAGCTGTAGGTGCTGCTGCAGTTGTTGCTGTTGCTGCACGTGCGGCATCTGCAGCAGCAGCAGCAGCAGCAAGTGCTGCTGCTGCTGCTGCTGCTGCTGCTGCTGCTCTGGGAGTGATCTGCGACAGCTGGAAGGCCTTCCCTCAATAGTCTCTCCTTATACAACCCTAAACCCTAAACCCTAAACCCTAAACCCTAAACCCTAGTGTCCTGGGGTCTTGATATGCCTCTGCAGGTTTCTGAATTTATCCTTGAGTTGTACATTCGTAAACCGCCGCAGCAGGGGATGTTCCTAAGCAGCAGCACAAACCCTAAACCCTAAACCCTAAACCCTAAACCCTAAACCCTAATTCTTTTGCTACTCATGCCACTGCTGCTGCCTATAGCGCACAAGACTCCATCTAGGGTTTAGGGTTTAGGGTTTAGGGAGGATCACCTGCTGTATTTCCCTCCAATTTCCTTTGCCAAACCGCCGCACACCATCGAGCAGCAACTCCTCCTAAGAGCAAACACTCCTCAAACCCTAAACCCTAAACCCTAAACCCTAAACCCTAAGTCATAGACCCTAAACAGCAGGCCCTGAAGAGAAGCTATACATCGCCGTGCATAGTGTATAAGCGCAGAGGGTTTAGGGTTTAGGGTTTAGGATTAGGGTTTAGTATATGAGGACTTAGAGCTAAGGTGTGGATTAGGGTTTAGGGTTTAGGGTTTAGGGTTTAGCAGCACCTGCGTGCGCGTCCAGCAGCGGAGACGACGATCAGGAGAAGATGGCTTGGGGGGAGATATAAGCCCATACTGTCTCTGCTGCCGTTGCTGTTGTTGTTGTTGCTGCTGCTGCGACTGCTGCTGCTGCTGCTGCTGCGGCTGCTGCATAATCACAGGTTCTTCGTCAGACGGCCAACTGCAGAGAAGGCAGCACACACAAACAGCCACACTTATTTTCTTCGAGGGTTTAGGGTTTAGGGTTAACGATTTAGGGTTTAGGGTTTACAAATTAGGGTTTAGGGTTTACAATTAGGGTTTAGGGTTTAGGGTTTAGGGTTTAGGGTTTACTGTTCAACTTTGTCTGTTGGGTGTGCCTCAAGAAGACGAGGAAATTTTAATTTGTGTGCGGGGGAATTTGCTGCAGATAGGATAGAGGGCCTCCTGTTGCTGCTGCTGCTGCTGCTGCTGCTGCTGCTGCTGGCGATTCTGTTGCTGCGCCTTGTGCCACTGTTGTTGTGGCTCTCCTCCTGCCGCTTGTACGCTGCTGCTGCTGCTGCTGCTGCTGCATCTGTTGCTGCTGCTGCTGTTGGACTATCAGATAGTTCGCTGTCTTCAACGGATTCTACAGGACGCTGCCGCTTCGAAGAGTTGTTGGTGCTGCTGCTGCTGCTGCTGCTGCAGCTGCAGCTTGCAGGAGCAACATCACTTTGGGCCTCCGGAGGCAACGGCTGTTCGTGCTGCTGGTGCTGCTGCTGCTGTTGCCTCTGGTGCTGCTGCTGCTGCTGCTGCTGCTGTTCTCGCTGCGGAGTATCTATCACCACAAGGTCTTCACTTTCATCTACAGGAGCAGCAGCAGTTGCTGCTGCTGCTGCTGGTGCTGCTGCTGCTGCCTGGCCGCTGGGTACGCCTTTGACCACAACAATTGGTTCCTCTTCTCTCAGTACTTCTGCTGCGCTAGCTGCTGCTGCTGCTGACAAATTAGGTGCTGCTGCAGCATTTGCTGCAACTGCTTCTGCTAATGATGTTGCATCTTCTGTGCGTGCTTCTGCTGCTGGTGCTGCAGTAGCTGCTGCTGCTGCTGCTGCAGATTCCGCTGCTCCTGTAGCTTGTGCTGCTTCTACTCCTGCAGCTGCTTCTGCTGCTTCCTCTGCTACAGGTGCGGCAGCTGGTGCTGCTGCTGCGTGGGCTGCAGCAGCACAGGAGCAATACTTAAGCAGCAGCTGCAGCCGCTGCTGCTGCTGCTGCACCGTCTGGCGTGCATAGAGGAGAGCAGCAGCAGCACGCTGCGCCTCTCGCTGCATCAGCAAGACACCAACAGCTACTTCGTCGTCAGATAGGGAGCCCTCATCCTCTACTGCTTCCTGCTGCGCTGCTGCAGCAGCAGCTGCTGCTGCTGCTTGTTCCGCCAACACCTGCTGCTGCTGCAGCTGCTGCAGCAGCTCCCGTTGCTTCTGAGCTTCGGTACCACAACACACGCATACCTGCTGCTGCTGTCGCTGGTGCTGCTGCTGCTGCTGCTCTTCCACCTGCTGCTGCTGCCGTTGCTGCTCTTCCAAGCCATGTGCATGTGCAGAAGGGGACTCAATAGGGGAATCAGCAGCAGCAGCAGCTGCTGCATCTGCTGCAGCATCTTGTGTCTCATCAAGGTTGCTGCTGTGTCCTTGCTGCTGCTGCTGCTGATGAGCGTTGTACGTCAGGCAAGAAGGCAACTGCAGCAACAGCAGCAGCAACAGCAGCAAAATGTGGCATACATGCGTATCAGTGCAGCATCAGCAGTAACAACAGTAACAGCAACAGCAACACCAACAGCAGCAGCAGCAACAGCAACAGCAGCAGCAGCAACAGCATGCATGCAGAAAATGCCTACCTTGTCCAGCAACGGCGGAGGCAGCGCGCCGTCAAGGAAGAAAGCAATCTCAGCAATCTGCTGCAGCGCTGCTGCTACATGATTAGCAGTAGTGTGCAGCAGCTGCTGCTGCTGCTGCTGTGCTGCGGGTCCTCCTGCTGCTGCTGCTTCAGCAGCAGCAAAACTACGTTGGACCTGCTGCAGCATAGGAGGGAGTTCCTCAACTGCAGCAGCAAGACCCTCCCTGAAGGAAGCAGCAATATCAGCAGCAGCAGCAGCAAAAGACTCTCCTGCTGCTGCTACATCTGCGTCTCCTTCTGCTGCTGCTGCTGCTGCTGCTGAGCAGACCTCAGAACGTAGAGACACAATTGCTGCTTCCCTGCAAACAATACGTAGAGAAGAAATGACAGCAACTCCCCACTCCAGCCGTCTGCTGCTGCTGCTGCTGCTGCAGCTGCTGCTGCTCCTGGTTTTGCTGCTGCTGCAAGAAGGGCAGCTAATACAAAGGGCCTGCTGCAGAGGCAGCAGCAAATGCAGCAGCAGCTCAAGTGCAGCAGCACGGGCTACCGCCGCGTGTAGAGCTAGCATATGCTGCTGTGATAAACTGCTGCTGCTGTTGCTGCTGCTGCTGCTGCTGCTGTCTGCAAGCTTCTGCTGCAGCAGTAGCTCCATCTGAGGATCTTCACGCAGGGACTGCAGCAGCTGCTCTAGCTGCTGCTGCTGCCCAGCAGCAGCTGCTGCTGCTACCTCATGTATGTATTCCCCTAAGTACTGTGTAGCTGACGGCAGTTGCTGGTTTTGTTGCAGGGATTGGTGCTGCTGCTGCTGCTGCTGCTGCTGCACCAGAAGGTGTGGCTTCTGCAGCAGCAGCCCAGTTTCTTGCCTAAGCCTCCTCTCGGCTTCGCTCAACAGGCAGCAGCAGCAGCAACGGCTGCAGCCGCTGCAGCAGCAGTAGTGCCTGCTGCTGCTGCTACTGCTACTGTTAATATCTCGATCTTGCTGCTTCCTATTCAGATCAGCCCCCCTATTCCCTTCTGCTGCTGCTGCTGCAGCTAATGCTGCTGCTGCTGCTGCAGCAAGAGAAGGGAAAGTAAGGGCTTCCCAAGCTAATGCATCTAATAGGAGTCTTAGGCCAGTTAACTGCGCTGTATGCCTCATCTGCTGCTGCTGCTGCTGCTGCAGCTGCTGCTGCAGCGACATGTAATGTCTCCAGGCCTTTACAACTCTGTTGTGTTGCTGCTGCTGCTGTTGCAGCAGTTCTGCTTCTGCTGCTGCTGCTGCGCTGCTGGTAGTCAGCCAGGAGGTACTTCACACAGAACAATTGCTGCTGCTGTTGTTGCTGCTGCTGGTATTACTGCTGCTGTTGGTATTACTGCTGCTGTTGCTGCTGCTATTGCTGCTATTGCTGCCAATGCTGGTAATGCTGCTCCGGTTGTTGTTCCCGTTGTTGCTGTTGCTGCTGCTGTTGCTGAGCTTGCAGACACAAAAAAAAGGCAAGATGTAAGAAAAATTCCGCTTGCTGTTGCAGCGTTGCTGCTGGTGGTGTTTCTGTAGCTGTTGCTGCAGCAGCAATTGCTGCTGCTGCTGCTACTGCTGCTGCTGCAGCAACAGCTCTCCCTGCGATCCGGCAGCAACAGCCGCCCTTCCTGTTATAGGCAAATTAGAGAATGTTTTTTGTCTAACCATTATTTATTGCTGCTGTTGGTACTCCACTTGTTGCTGCTCGTGCATGCATGCAGCAGCAGCAGCAGCAGCAGCAGCAGAGGGAGGGTGGGGTTGGTGTTCCTGCTGCAGCCCCCAGTAACCAAAGCAGCACTAATACAATTTTTTTCCTTGTGTCTCTAATTTAAACATAAAGAGCCGCAGATTTTGCTGCTGCTGCATGCTTGGGTGTCTCGATACACTAAACCCTAAGCCCTAAACCCTAAACCCTAAACCCTCATGGTCTCGCCTGCGGATCTGCTGCAGCAGGAAGTCGACTGTCTGCGCCGAGCCTATTCTCCTTTTGCTGAGTTTGTTGCTATTCATCCCTCTGTAGATCCAGCTGCACCTGCTGCTGCTGCTGCTGCAGGTCTTGCTGCTGCTGCTGGTGCTGCAGCACCCGGCGACGCGGGAAAGGGACTAACAGGCTCAAGTGCGCAAGAGCAGCAGCAGCACGACCAGCTGCAGCTACAGCAGCCACATGAGAATCTGTACCTACTGCGACAGCAGCCGCACCAGCAGCAGCAGCAGCAGCAGCAGCAATTCCTCTGTGCCTTAAGACACCCCCTGGGGACTCTGCTGCTCTCTATTGGTCTCCATATTGACGGCCTACGAGTTAGACAAACACACCGACGTGCTGCTGTCCTTTTGCTGCTGCTGCTGCTGTGCTGTTGTTGTCCTGCTGCTATTGCTGCTGTGCTGCGCTGCTGTACATGAGTAGCCTGCGTGGTGCTGCTGTTGCTGTTGCTGTAGCGTGTTAAGGGCCTATATATATGTGCTGTTGCTGCTGTTTGTTGTGCTGCTGCTGCTTTTGCTGCTGCTGCTGCTGCTGCAGCTTCTGAAGCTTGATTGCCTGCCAGATCAGACCCCACAATCTGTCATCAAGACAGTTGAGCAGCAGCAACAGCAGCAGCAGCAGCAGCAACAGCAACAACAAGTACTGCACCAGAGCAACGAGCAGCAGCTGTCCGCTTGGAGTGTACGTACACCTCAGCATCCTGCTGCAGCATTTGAGACATTTGAGGGTTTGCTGCAGGCAGTTTGTCCACAAGTCTTTCAACATATGCAGCAGGAGTTGCTGCGGCGGCAGCTAGAGCAGCAGCAGCAATAGCAGAAATAGCAGCAGCAGCAGCAGCAGCAACAACAAGAACAACAACCAACGTTGGCAGCAGCCAGTTGATACATTTGCAGCATTAGAAGCAGAAGTGCAGCAGCAACAGCAGCAGCAGCAGCAGCAGCAATAATAGCCAGTAAAGGCGAAACCAGAAAGGCAGCAGCAGCTGCAGCAGCAACCAGAAAGGCAGCAGCAGCTGCAGCAGCAACAACAAAAGCAGCAAATATTCTAACAAAGGGAAAAAAAGAAGCAAAAATAGTAATAAGAACAAGACAACAAAACAATAAAAAAAAAAATAAAAAAAATAATTATAATAATAAAAAAAACTAAATAAGAAAACAAATAAAATAAAATAAAATAAAAAAAATAAAATAAAATAAAATAAAGAGAATAAAAATAAATAAAAAAATAAATATAAATAAATAAAATATAAATAAATAAATAAAATATAAATAAATAAATAAAATAGATAAAATAAAGTAAATAAAATGAATAAATTAAATAAATAAATAAAAAAGAAAAAAACAAACAAAACGACGAAAAAAAAAAAAGAAACAAAAAGAAAAAAAAAAAAAAAAAAAAAAAAAAAAAAAAAAAAAAAAAAAAAAAAAAAAAAAAAAAAA